CTGCCGCCACGCCGGGCAGCCTTCCCCTTCCCGGGCGGAGGGGACCCGGTCTGGGAAGCCGGCGCCGGACCCCACCGACGGGCGTCCTTCCCCGGGGTGCACCGGCCCCCGCTTCGGAAAGCCGGGACAGCGGTCCCTCTGCACGGCACGCCGCCCCCCGCCCCCGTTCCCAAAGCCCCTGCCTTTGCGGGGCTGGGATTTGCGGAGTAAATCCTCCTCCGGACAGAGAGCAGCCCTGCCCCAGACTCTCCTTTCCCGGCTTAGGTGCAAGTGGGGAACAAGGCTTTAGGAGATGCTGTGCTGCTGCTGCTGCTGCTGAATTTCATCCCGGAGGAGGCCCGTGGAGACAAAGCGTCTCATGGTGTTACCATCTCCCCAAGACCCCAAGAACAAGTCTGGCTGTTGGGATGCGCCCCGCAGGGTTCCTCTTGGTGTCTGAGGCCGGCCGTAAATCGGCTGTGATGGTGATGTGCAGCCTCTGTGTTTTGATGCACGTGGGTGACGGTAATACAAAGTAAGCCCCACCATCTGAATGAATATAGGATCTGAAATGTGTGGGAATGTGGAAAGGCAGGAGGAGCCTTATGAGCAGCAGCATTTTCGGGCAGGTTGCTTCAACATTTAATGTGCCAGTGACATAAAGGAGTAAATGCTTTCACCTGGGGCAGACATACTGGGACATAAAAAAGGGGTGATGCTAGAAAGCGTCCAAGAGAATTAAGAGAATAAAAAAGGACATCCTGAACTAAATTGTAAAACCTTGTTTTCTGTAAGTTTTCCCATTAACATGATTCCTTTTCCTCAGACTAGAAATTTGGAAAGCTCAGAGAAGCCATTTTAGAAAACACCCAAACACCCCTTGTATTTCAGCCACGAAAAGTCCTGGTTTTTATTCATCCTCCCTACAGTACAACATGAACAAAACACCTCTGTGTTGTAGAGTTCCAAGCTGGCTTGCAGAGAGCAAGCCCGAGAACACCAGAGAATATGCTGTCATTACTGGGCACAACTCCTGCTTTACAGGGCACTTTCTTCATAAACAGGGTGTCAAGTGATAGCCTTTGCTGTCTTAATTTCAAGGAAGAGTAAGTGTGGGAACAGAATTACACATAGTGCGAGAAGTGTTTAAGTTGGTGGCAGTGGCCTGGTTTTGAGATTAAAAGTTTGTAATGGACCATGATCATCGTTTGAACTCATCCTCCAGAAAGTTGTCCAGCAAAATGCACACCGAGTCTCTCATCTGTTGCTGAGCGGGCTGAAGCAGGAATAATTTGGACTCTGCTAGGAATACCCTCCGTCTTGACTGAAAGACTTCAAAATCAGACTTTCCAGTTATATTTCAGCACAAGTTAACGTCTGCTTTTGTCACTGTGCAGGATTTAGCAGGGTGAGAAATGACTGTAGTGTCTCGGCTCGTATTTTCTGGAGTGAGAATTTGCTGCTTGTTTCCATCTGCTGTTATTCAGATATACAGCTTTTATGTCCTCACATTAGAATGAATAATGCCTTTTTTACCCATCTGCTAAGTTCTGGATGAAAGGAAGTGATCAACCTTCAGCCAGTCTGTCCCACATAGCTAAAATATTGTAAAGGTTATGTTATGAGTTGGGTTATGTTGGTAACTAATGCTGTGAAACACACTGTTCCCTCCCTGACCTTCCTTCACCTCCCCTCATACATTTGAATGGTCTTTAAGATTTCCTGTTGGGTTGGAAATTGGTCTTTTGCTGAAAAACAAACAATGTTGCTTGGGAATAGCAATTAGCTGTAGCCGTATTAATCAACAGTCCTTCAGAGAAAGGAAAACTGCATCAGTAGATGACACAGAAATGTAAATATCATTAGTGGCATCAGTGAAGGGGAAAAAATACTGTAAGAACTGCAGTACATGTCAGAAGAACTAACAGAAATAAAAATGGCCCTTCAAATTTAAACGACGGGGTTACTGAGTTGGAAGAGAGAACATCTACTTTGGAACAGAAAGCTGTTAGTGGGCAGAAAAATACTTACAGAAAATGTCAGGACAAAGGTGGAACTAAATGCCTCCAATTTGTCCCTTTTTGAGTGGTTTCCAAGACTAACAGTATGAAGATTGTATGCTTCCTGGGGGGGATAGAAAAAGGAAACCAACCACCACGTTCCAGGAAAGCATGCTACAATTGTTAAAACTGTGTTTCCAAGCTAGAAATCAAGAGACCAGCAAGTATCCACTTGCACAATTGAGCAGCAATGCAAATGGTTGAATTTTCCATCCTGTTCATTACTAGAGAAAAAAAATGTTTCTTTGAGATGAAGCATGTTTCTGTTGTGGTGCCTTAGACAAAAGGTTTGCATTAGCTGGCTTTGGAAAATCCGAAGTTTTAATTGAACAGATGGTGATGGTGATTAACAATCTTTTATTGCTATTACCCATAACTTAGACTGTTCACTCAAAGCAAAAATTGGAGCTGAATTTAGGGTAAAAAATGTGTTCCTATTCTACACTGTGATTTTGCCAGCTCTTTTAAGATTGGTCTAATTGGATTAATCTCTGGAAGACACTTTTGGGAAGATCTAGGATACATTAAGAGAAGGCTGAGAATGGACATACCTTACCAGGGCAGGCAGAATGCTGCTATTGGACACTGGTATCTGTCATGCATAAATAGGGATATTAAATGGCAAACCAGTATGTTCTGGACTGGGACACTAATTTCAGCTTGCTCACCATGCATTTCCCCTATATACACAGTTAGATACAAACCCCATTTCCTGTCCCACATAACAGTTTGATGTAACAGATAATCAGGTAGTGTATGCCACCCTCTCACTGTTTGAAATTCATAACTGAAAGCAGTGAACACTGTTGGTAAAATATGCAAGCATTATTCAGGTTGAAAGCTTCTACAGAGGTGTCACCTCCCCAGGCTCCTTATGGCTGTGGTGTGGAAGCTGGAGAACTGCAAATTAGAGCTGGCTTCAAATTGAAAATAAAGATTTTTAAAAAAGAGCTAATTCAAAGTACAGTTGACTATTGTAGTGTTAGTTGTGTTAAATATCAAGGGTGCCCAAAAGTGCTCAACCTCCTTTTTTATCATCTTTATCCATCAAATGTAGAATACATAAATATGAATGGCTCCTGTTGAGCATTAACTAGAAAGGTGGGAACTTTAACATGTCAAAGATCTGAAAGTCTTCAGCAGCTCTGGTCTCATGCAGTGGTCTGAGCCCAGTGCATGTATATAGGAATAACTCATCCTACCAAAAGGGTTGGATCCCTCAGATAGGGATGACCCCATCCTCTTTTTTATCTCCACTGCTTTTAGCACTTGCCACCTCACAATGCAAATGTTGTCTAGCCTGTATTTGCTGACCAGTTATATTGAGGCTGAAATATTAAGAATCAGCCAGCTGGCTTGTTACCGTTTCAACTTGAAGTAATGTTTTAAATCAATGGCAGGCTATTTCACAGAATCATAGATTCATAGGATGGTTTGGGTTGCAAAGGACCTTTAAAAGTCCCCTAGTCCAAGCCCCTCTGCAATGAGCAGGGAGATCTTCAACTAGACCATGTTGATCAGAGCGCCATCCAACCTGACCTTGAATGTTTTCAGGGATGAGGTATCTACCACCTCCCCGGGTAACCTGTTCCAGTGTTTCACCACTCTCATTGTAAAAATTTCTTCCTTATATCCAATCTAAATCTACCATATTTTAGTTTAAAACCATTAGCCCTTGTGCTATTGCAACAGGCCCTGCTAAAAAGTCTGTCCCCATCTTTCTTATAAGCCTCCTTTAAGTACTGAAAGGCCTCAATAAGGTCTCCCTGGATCCTTCTCTTCTCCAGGCTGAACAACCCCAACTCTCTCAGCCTTTCCTCACAGGAGAGGTGTTCCATCCCTCTGACCATTTTTGTGGCCCTCTTCTGGATCTGATCCAGCAGGTCCATGTCTTTCCTGTGCTGAGGACCCCAGAGCTGGATGCAGGACTCCAGGTGGGGTCTCACCAGAGAAGGATAGATGGGCAGAATCACCTCCCTTGACCTGCTGGCCAGAAAGCTGGTTGGCTTTCTGGGCTGCGAACACACATTGTCGGCTCATGTCCAGCTTTTCATCCACCAGTACCCCCAAGTCCTTCTCTGCAGGGCTGCTCTCAATCCCTTCATCCACCAGCCTGTATTGATACCAGGGGTTCCCCTGACCCAGGGGCAGGACCTTGTTGAACCTCATGAGTTTCACATGGGCCCACTTCTCCAGCTTGTCCAGGTCCCTTTGGATGGCAACCTGTCCCTCAGGTGAGTCAACTGCACTGCTCGGCTTGGTGTTGTCTGCAAATTTGCTGAGGCTGCACTTGATCCCACTGTCTATGTTATTGATGAAGATATTAAGCAGTACAGGTCCCAGTATGGGCCCCCGAGGGACACCACTTGTCACTGATCTCCATGCGGACATAGAGCCGTTGTGACCATCCAGCCAATTCCTCATCCACTGAACAGTCCACCCATCAAATCCATACCTCTCCAATTTAGAGAGAAGGAAGTTGTGGGCGACCATGTCAAAGGCCTTACAGAATTCCAGATAGACAGCATACTTAACTCTTCCCTTGTCCATCGATATAGTCACACCATCATAGAAGGCCACTAGGCTGGTCAAGCAGAACTTGCCCTTG